TGATAACAAGAGTGAACAGTCTCGAAGCTATGGCATGAGGGACAAGCTATGGCTAGAAGCTAGGGCACGAATCTATGACACTTTGCAGCTCAAATCATGCTGCAATAATACAGCAGATGTAAGAGGAATCACGCGAGGAGCAGGAGGAATAGGTTCTCCTGAGCAGCTGCAAGTGGAGAGGATTGTATGGCTACCTATCCTACATGGCCCAACGTTGTTCAGTCCAAGCATGGACTGCATGGTGACCTTTGGCGAGCTGGGCGTGTATGGAGGTCGTTGGGCGTGCATGGCCGTGCATGGAGGTCGTTGGACGTGCCTGGGCATGCATGGAGGTCGTTGGGCGTGCATGGGCGTGCATGGGCGTGCATGGAGGTCGTGGGGTAGGTCGCAGGGCGTGCATGGCGACCTGGTTGGTCGCCGGGCGTGCATGGCGACCTGGTTGGTCGCCGGGCGTGCATGGCGACCTGGTTGGTCGCCGGGCGTACATGGCGACCTACCTCCGTTACTGTAGAGGACACTACTTTAGCAATTAATCTGGCGATCCCACTATTTAACGAATAAAAAATTTCAACGCACTATCAACGAGATTTTGCCATTATCAAAGATATTCGGCAAAATCTCGTTGATAGTGCGTTGAAATTTTTTTATTCGTTAAATAGTGGGATCGCCAGATTAATTGCTAAAGTAGTGTCCTCTACAGTAACGGAGGTAGGTCGCCATGTACGCCCGGCGACCAACCAGGTCGCCATGCACGCCCGGCGACCAACCAGGTCGCCATGCACGCCCGGCGACCAACCAGGTCGCCATGCACGCCCTGCGACCTACCCCACGACCTCCATGCACGCCCATGCACGCCCATGCACGCCCAACGACCTCCATGCATGCCCAGGCACGTCCAACGACCTCCATGCACGGCCATGCACGCCCAACGACCTCCATACACGCCCAGCTCGCCAAAGGTCACCATGCAGTCCATGCTTGGACTGAACAACGTTGGGCCATGTAGGATAGGTAGCCATACAATCCTCTCCACTTGCAGCTGCTCAGGAGAACCTATTCCTCCTGCTCCTCGCGTGATTCCTCTTACATCTGCTGTATTATTGCAGCATGATTTGAGCTGCAAAGTGTCATAGATTCGTGCCCTAGCTTCTAGCCATAGCTTGTCCCTCATGCCATAGCTTCGAGACTGTTCACTCTTGTTATCATAGCTGTATTGGTGCAGCATAAAATCAGCTGTGTTGTATTATTGCAGCGTTCAACGGTTGAAAAATTTACAGCTTTTAACGTGAATTATACAGCTCAAATTGATTGCAACTTACCTACCAACCGTTGAAATATCATTATATTGGATATGAGGGGTTTAGGGTAGAATCATAAGAAAGAAAGAAAATTTGGCGAGAGAAAGGAAATGAAAGGAAAATAAGAAGAAGAGGAAATGGAGATAAAGGCTCAAATATCGTTTGTGAGGTAATTTTTAATTGTTTAATTTAGTTTATTAATATGAAATTATGAAATAATTAGTTTGTTAGTTTAGGGTTTAGGATAAACAGAAATTTAGTTAATTAGTTTGTTAGTATAAATTATTAGTTTGTTAGTTTAAGTTATATTATATTAATTTGTTAGTTTAAGTTATATATTAGATTATATAAAAAATTAGTTAATTAGTTTCTTAGTTTAAGTTATTAAATGTAAAAAATATTTAATTAATTTGTTAGTGTGTTTAAACGTATATTAAGTTGTTTGTTGAAGTTTAAGTTAAAATATTAAAAAGTTAATTAGTGCTTAATTAGTTTGTTAGTTTGTTATTTTAACTAAATTATATTATAATAAAGAAAAAGTTTATTAGTTTAAGTTATATTTAATATATTAGATTATATAAATTTAATTTTTTTAATTTATTGTTGTTTAAAGAAATAATTTTTTTACACGTACAGAGCATTATTCCACAACATTTTTCCACGCACATATTGATTCGAAGAAAGAAACAATAAAGGAAAGGAAAGGAAAGGAAATGAGCAACAACTTTTTCACGATTGTCCATTATAATGGACAGATTATGGAAAATGAGATCGGAGTAGTTTTTCAGTCTGAAAACCAATAAATATGATGTTCAAAAAAGACATCACATTTATAGAAATGAAGCATAAGATAGAAAAAAATTCGAGTTGCAGTTGATGGTTTGAGGTATAGGTTTATGATATGCCCCAACCCAGTCAAATATGCTGCAGTTCCACTTGAAGAAGATGATGATATTGGAACCATGGTTCGATTACATGAGTTAACCAATATAGCAGTTATTGAGTTATTTGTTGATGTGCATAACATATGTGATGTTCCTGGGTCATCAAGAGGTGTGGCTCAAAATCCATCTGAAATGACTTTATATAGTCAGTTTGAGGAGCCGACATACAGGTTCCCGAACAGTTTTATGGCACTATTGGAAAGTGTAAATGAAGTCGGGGGGACATCTGCAACAGAAGAGTGTGAGACGAGAAACATACCGGAATTGGTTGTTGATATTGACGCTGAAAATCGATGGGGAGAAATTCATGATGATTCAAGCGAAGATGAAGAAACCGAAGAACCCGTTTTGGGCGGCGACGAAAATATTTTTGGTGGAGGTGCAATTGATGAAGTTCCGGCACCGTATGAAGCTACTCCTCACATGTACGAGATAGACTATGATGCGATGAGGGCACCTGAATTCCCAGACATGCCACATTTACCTCCATACCAAATGACTGCATCATTCGATAATTCTGGTGAATTTTCAGTTGGGGTGCAATTCAGAGGAAAAAATGAAGCTACCCTAGCGATTAAAGAGTACTGCATAAAATGCCATGTTGATATCCATGTTGCAGAGTCCAACCAGAAAACCCTATACGCGAAGTGTGTAAAATATGGCCTAGAGTGCAAGTGGAAGATCAGAGTGTCGAAAAATCAAAGGCACGATGTTTGGGTCATCACGAGGTACAATGGTCCGCACACGTGTTTGCGAAACTTCATCGAACAAGACCACCGACTATTGGACTCCGATGTAATATGTGAATACGTGAAGGCGATGGTTGAAAAGGATCCAAGGATATCTTGTTCAGTGTTAGCTGCATCTATTCGAAGCCAATTTGGATATCAAGTAAAATATGGCAAGGTGTGGAATGCGAAGATGAAGGCAATGAAGCTGACGTATGGAGATTGGGATACATCGTACAATGAGCTACCACATTTGCTACAAGCAATGAAGCGATTTATCCCAGGAACCATAGTGAAGTCTCAAACCATGCCCGCATATGACGAAGAAGGTCAACTTCTGCCAGGGAAGAAAATATTTCATAGACTATTTTGGGCATTCAAGGCATGTATTGAAGGATTTCCATTTTGTAAACGTATGATCCAAGTAGATGGTACGTGGCTGTATGGTCAATATAGGCATGTACTTTTGATGGCAGTTGCTCAAGATGGTGAGCGAAATATCTTCCCAATTGCATTCGCCATTGTTGAGGGAGAGACAACAGAGGCTTGGGATTTCTTTCTGACCAATCTACGTCAATATGTCGTTCGTGAAGATGGAGTTTGCTTGATATCCGATAGAGGAACGGGTATTTTGGCGGCAATTGAACGACCAGGAAGTCGTTGGATACCTCCGTATGCATATCCGACATATTGTATCCGTCATATTGGCAAGAATAGTATCGACCAATTTCATAACGCACACATTCGTAGCGAGATAGTCAGCATGGGTAAGTTTTATTTTCAATATTTGTGCATTTTTTACATGGTTTTTTTAATTGCGGTTTAACACAGTATATTATGAAACAGGATACGAACTACGTCGACCAAATTTTGATAAGAGATTGGAGAATTTGAAGGTATTTTACGATGATCAGCGTGTTTGGAAGTGGGCTTCAAAAATACCGCGGGAAAAATGGTCACAAGCATATGACGAAGGTCGGAGATACGGACATATGACCACAAACCTTGCTGAGGCCATTAATTCGGTACTAAAAGGTACACGCCATCTCCCAATTGCGAGTGTGATGAAAGAGACGTACTTTAGATTGGGTAAAGTTTGGTCGGACAAAGGCAAAGAAATAGAGAGTCTTATAAATAGAGGTAAAACTTGGGCTCCTACAGTGGTGGAATCAATGGAAGCAAATGAGCGATTGGCAACATCAATGGTTGTTCATAATTTCGACCGAGTTGGTCATACTTTTGTCGTGTCGTGCATACGCCGTAACGTCGGAGGAGAAGACCAAACATTTAGAGTTGATTTACGACATAAATGGTGTGATTGTGGTCGTTTTCAGGCATGGAAATATCCATGTGCTCATGCAGTCGCAGCATGTATGTATGCTGGTGTAAGCGCATACACTTATGTTGATGAGTGCTTTCACTTACGTAGGATATTAAATGTCTACAGCTATGAGTTCAGACAGATACCAAATGAATCATATTGGCTCAGAAAAGATCATGACGAATGGCTGCCAAATCCAATGCTTCGCAGAAGTCCAAAGGGTCGACCTGAGTCCACTCGTATTCATACCAGTATGGATTTCCATGCTAGAGAGAGAGGTCAAACAAAGAGATGCGGATTATGTAGGGGTGAAGGCCATTCAAAAAACAATTGTCCTAATTTACCAAGATATAGGCCTCATCATTAGTAATGATATATGTATTTCTATGAATTTCTATGTATTTATAAGATTTAGTAATGATTAGTAATGATGAAATTATTATTAATTTTTAATGATTTGATAGTAATGATTTAGTAATGATTAGTAATAATGAAATTATTATTAATTATGTATGATTTGATAGTAATGATTTAGTAATGATTAGTAATAATGAAATTATTATTAATTTTTAATGATTTGATAGTAATGATTAGTAATATAATTTATTATTAATATTTAATGATTTGATATTAATGATTTAGTAATGATTTGATAGTAATGATTTACGACTTGAACAATGAACAATGTTTGGTTCAATTAACCATAAAAAAATTATCAAACTAATGATTTTTGGTTCAATGAACAATGAACAATGAACAATGATTTAGTAATAATCATTATAAAAATGATTTAATAATGATTTAAATATTTAATGATTTGATGATTTAGTAATTTATACATAGTCGAATTTATTAATGATTTTTAAATATTTAATGATTTGATACTAATGATTTACTAATTATTACTAATGATTTAATACTAATTATTTGATACTAGTAATTATTTGATACTAAACATCATTGTTAAGGTTAAAAAAAGCAGTCTAATTTCAATAAATAATTTGTAATAAATAGCAAACGAGTTTACAATTGTTGTCGATGTCGGGGTGTTGTTGAATGATAATGTCGGGGCGGACGTCTGATACGTTGTGGCCGTTGTGGCTCAGGAGTATTGTACTCATCCCCCTCATTCATTGGGGTATTTGAACTGTCATGTGTTCAAAGTCATACGTCGACGAAAACGTAGGAGAATAGATGGGTGCCTCAGGCTGCACAAACTCTGGTATGTATGCCGGGCCAGTAGAGTCATCAACTGCGTGATGCAACGATTGTGGTGCGCTATTATCCACATCGGTCATTTCCGCTTCAGTTTGTAGAGATGAACTCCCACTCCCACTCGGTAGAGAGTATTCAGCTTTACCAAATCTTTTCTTAAACCTCAAAAATTGTCGCCTCTCTACTATTGTTGTGAGGAACGGCTTTCCATTATCCAAAAAATAAGCAAGGTAAGCCGAAGTCTCAAAATTAAAGTCGTCGTCTTGAATGGCGTCAAGAGTTGGCATGAATGAAGCCCTATTGTTCCAAGCATTAATATATGTTGCATGCTTCTCAACCCAATTAACGCTTTCTTTACGACGACCATCAAATCTGTGCAGGTCGTCATGCGTCTCAACCCAATTCACTGGACGACGACCATCTAAGTTTTGGAGGAGGTCATGATCCCATGGACTCCGCGGAATAGGTTGGTGGAAGTGGAATTGCCTCAGCACTCTATCCCCAAATTGGATCTCAACAAAAGCAAAATTGATCAATGGTGTAACAGCACACCAATATTGAAACCCATCTAAAATATCGTGCGGTATCAACGCAAATAATTCTTCATTCATGTATGGTCTCCAATTAAACTGTAAAATTACAAAAACAATAAAATTTATTTAAATTAGATAATATAGTTAATTAAAATAATAATTAAAAAATACAAATTATGCATACCTCCTTTTTGGCCTTAATGTCTATCTTCAACCTGAACTCTTTAATGTTGTTGTGCACCAACCCTGTGCCTTCAATTTTATGCCTCCATCTGTATATCAAAACAAAAATAGAGACATTTTGTTCAATAATTTTAATCAAAATAAATATTTTTAATTAATATTTTATATTAAAATAGAGGATTCATATTACCGTCCGGCAAGTGGAAAGTCAACCGCAGTCCGACTAATCGGTGTCAGAAACGGAAGTCTATGCCAAGCCCATGATTGTAGAAGCAACTGACATCCACCGATTTCTACTGTATTATTATCATTCACGACTAATGACGCCTTGCACATCTCACGATACAAGAACGCCAATATCGCCGAACCCCAGCTATATTGCCTACAATTCTCAAAATTTGTTAAAAAAAGAAGATACTGAGTGTGAACATAACTACCTGATTTATCAGGCATCAAAATTCCCCCAATCAATTGTAATATATGCTCGTGTTGCATATATAATTTCGTGCTCCGTACTATTTGATTGAAGTTGAAATTCATTCTTCAACCATGACAACCTCACCCGCCACCCTTTACACTCTGGTGGTACGGGCGCTTTCCCAAGAAACAAGTTGCAAAGTTGTTCCACCTTATTAAACTCATGTGACATTACCACCGGCATCCCATTAGTTTGGACCCCGAGTTGCATTGCCACATCCTCCAAAGTTATCGTGCATTCGCCACACGGCAAATGAAACGTGTGCGTTTCTGGTCTCCAGCGTTCAATCAACGCACTGATCAAACCTGGGACCAACTTGTAATCTCGCACAAATGTGACATACCAAAATCCAGCCTCTTGCAAATTTTCTTCTATTAGTGGGTGTGGCTTGGGCACTTTATGTAGTCGAAGACGAAGGACTCGCTGCTCGTCCTCCTACAATTAAATATTTCAAAAAAATTATCACAATCATAAAATAATATTCAAATATTTATTAATTATAATTCATTAAACAAATATTTTATTCACCATTATTCCCAAATGACTTGAAATATGTTCATTGTCAAGCCTCAACAGTGGAATTTGGTCAGCCATTGGAATGAATCTGTAAAAAAAATTAAACAACAATATTTAAAAAATCATTTAATATAATCTAATATAAACTAACTAACTAATTTACAACACTAAACTTTAATATAATAACTTATAATATAAGAAACTAATAAACTAACAAACTAAACTTTTTAAAATATAAACGTAAACACCAAACCCTTAAACAACTAATAAAATATTTTTTATATAACTAAAACTAACTAATAAACTATTTTTTCATTATAATATACTACTAATAAACTTACTAACTAAAACTAACTAATAAACTAACTAATTTTTTATATAATATATATTCAACAAACAAATATAACTTAACTATTTAACTAACAAAAACTAATTAAATAATTTTTTTATATAACTAACTATTAACAAAACAAACTAATTAATTATTTTTTAACTATATAACTATCAAACATATACTAATTAAATAATTTTTAATTTATGTATACTATAACTTAAACTAACAATCATATAACCCTAAACTAATAAACTAATTAACATTTATAATAATAAACTAATTTAAATATAAACAAATTTACCTTATCTCCCTTTCTTCTTCTTACTTTCCTTTCTTTCTCCCTTTCTTTCTTTCTCGGCTGAATCTCTTCTCCCTTTCTTTCTTTCTTTTATGTGTGATCTTTCTTCTTGCAATTTGCACACCCCATATATAACCGGCTGCCTCAATTATTTCACCAACAATGGTTCAATTATTGTTCATGCATGGTCTCGTCTCGTGAGCTAGGATCACATGGCATGCTGTAGGCATGCAGCGGGGAGCAGGAGCACGTGAAGTTATCTTGGCATGCATGCAGGCATGCAGCGGGAGCAGGAGCACGTGAAGTTATTTGGCTGGTGCATGCATGGTCGGCTGGTGCATGCATGGTTCGCAGGGGGCGACCTACAAGGTCGCCGGGACTACATGGCGACCTACAAGGTCGCCGGGACTACATGGCGACCTACAAGGTCGCCCAGACTGCATGGCGACCTCTCTATTGGCTGGCTCGCATGGCGACCTCTCCGTTGGCTGGCTCGTCTGCATGGTTCTCCGTTGGCTGGCTCGTCTGCATGGTGAGTATATGGCTTGTATGGCGTCTGCATGGGTATGGCTCGTCTGCATGGTGAGTATATGGCGTGCATGGCGACCTGGTTGGTCGCCGGGCGTGCATGGCGACCTGGTTGGTCGCCGGGCGTACATGGCGACCTACCTCCGTTACTGTAGAGGACACTACTTTAGCAATTAATCTGGCGATCCCACTATTTAACGAATAAAAAAATTTCAACGCACTATCAACGAGATTTTGCCAAGATATTCAATGACGTATAAAGATAATAATTTATTATAATTATAATTTTTTATATGCTTTAAATATATATTTGCTGAGAAGATTTATTTATACAAAAGCATAGCACATTGACATTATTTGAAAAATATTCTACTATATATGCATCTCTTTGACATTAATCACTTTTATTTACCCCAAGGATGGTATTTAGTTGACAATATAAATGTTTTGTTTAAAACATAAATATATACTACATTCACTTCAATATATATATATATATATATATATATATATATATATATATAAAGATTTTATTTTTTCCCCACTCACATGTGAATGAACAAAAATAATGTATGTAAGAAAATATTTTTTTATCAAAATTCATTCAATAAATTATTCTTGATGGAATGGTAAAAAATTTATATATAAACTTACGAGTCCCCCCCACTTACACTCACATGGATCAATGATAAACTATTATTGGGAGGGGCAAAAGTCTTCCCACTTGCTCGTCCCTTATTATGAATTAACTTTTGTGTGTGTGTGTATATATATATATATTCACGTCATTAGATTTCAGCAAATGAGAGAGAGAGAGAGAGAGAGAGAGAGAGAGAGAGAGAGAGAGAGAGAGAGAGAGAGAGAGAGAGAGAGAGAGAGGATATTGTTAATTTTAAAGATAATCAAAAGTGAGATCTAAGGATTTGGGGATCACCATGAGTATGGACATGGCTAGTGGGAGCATCATGAGTTTACTTCTAGTGGAAAATTTTCACTTTAGCGTAAATATTAAAATGGTAAGAAAAAACTTGTCTTATAGTAAAATGTCAAATATTTGTAAAGAAACTACATCGATACTAAAAGTTTTGTGATATTTAATTTTTGGTTCAGTGAGGAACAAATATAAATTTATAATTAGGACTGAATATATATTTTAAAGTTTGGCTTCAATTTATAATTTTATTAAAAAAAAACTTATTTAATTATAAGGTCATTGTTGTAACATACAATAGAATGTGAGTTTGAATATACTTCAGAATGTATCTTCTTATATATAAGCGAAGAAAGAATCTATTTAATTTAAGCATTGTATCAAAACGAGTTTGGATTTTTTTAGTTAAATAAGCATTAAATTCGTGTTCAGGAGGATAAAGTGAGTTTTACGTAAAATTTTGGGACTCATCGCAAGTGACGGTAAAAAAGTGGATTGACCAAATGGAGGGAGAGAAAAAAAAAAGAAAAGAAAGAAATAATAAAAGAGAAAAATAAGAGATTATTTTTTAACTTTTTATAGGGGTTCAAAATGATATCGTTTTGATATGTTGTGTAATCTCATAATTTATGATTTAAAAAGTTAAAAAAATAATTTTAATTATCAAAACGATAAAATCAAGTTATGAGATGTGTCGTTTACCCATTGTACTGAAAAGAGGGGAAATGGAGAGGAGTTCCGTAGATGTTTCATGGCAAAGATAAGCCATGTTTATATCGTACAAATTGTTGAAGTTTTAGTTCGAAAATAGGGCATTCCGATGGTATAACTTTTTAAAGAGATGATCTAATCAAGCAAATTAAATTTCGATTTCATATTATAAAGTCATAAGTTATTAGAGGTGTCATGAAAATAGTGTATATACTATTAAAATTGTATTTTTAATTTGATGAGAGACATAGTTATAAGTACAAAAAATAACACATTCTTAATTCATGTATACAAAGGAGTTATGTTCCCCAAGAAATAGATAATCTCGTATTTACACTTATATCTAATAGTGAGTTTATACGGAAACTCTTTCTTCTTCGAAGATCACAACTAAAGAAAGACTCAAAGATTTCAACCTATAAATTAAGTCAAGTACAATTCCTCATCTAGTATTTATTTTATTATATATGATTTAGTATAATTAGATCCTAGTTTGATTTCATATTTATTATGATTTGGTTCAACTAATTTATCTTAAACTCAATCATAACAAATAAAAATATAAACACAATATTCTCTCGAAAAAAACGCTAACCCAATCATTGATTAAATATTTAAAAATAATAATATTAACTTATGAACTAAATTGACATTAGTTTATTAGTTACAATTTACAAGGCACTTGCGAATTGAAAGAACACCTAATTAATATGATTAAATTAGAAGACTAAAGCCACTAATTCAATGTCATATTCATCGTGACCTTGCTTCTTTTTTTCCCCTTTGGAAGCTGATTTTATATACTCACCATCTCATAAAAATGTCTTTTATTGATCTTTTAAAAATTAATTTTTTTAAAAAAATTTTGATCATGATTATTTTAAATATTTTAAAAATTAAATTTCATAAAATATATATTTGAAAATTACTTGATTAAAGGTTTTTAAGATATATTTTTTAGAAATTACAAATTTTTAAATAATAACCAGTTCAAGTTTAAAAAATTGAAGAAGAAAAAAGTCAATAATGAACGTATTTTATGGGACAGAGGGAGTATTAAACATCGACCACTAACTTTAAATATATATGGTTTTGACGTTTCAGAAAAATAATATTTGGCTTTATATATATTATTTATCTTAAAGATCCTAATAATAATAACATTTATTGGTCAAACAATTAATCTTTATTTTAATATTTTTTTAGGTCATAGATTCTACATTATCTAGAAGCATTTTCTTTCCTTCATATCTACTCGGATAGGATTAGAATTAGATTTAGAATTTGTAAAAAAAAAATTAGGTTTCCTTGGCAGGTCAGCATTTATAAATAATATGTAAAACTAGATATTCTAACATTATATTTAAACAAAAAGGCGGAATTAGTATGATGGGCTAATCATAAATGAATATCAAGATCTTACATTATATATTAGTAACTTTAGAGGTTCTTCCCTTTAGAAAGATGGTGGCAAAGAGATTATAAAATTTAAGATATGTTTGAAAAGAAATTGAAATTAAAAAAAGAAAGAAAGAAAAGTTGGCATATTACCTAACCTTGCCATGGTTTTTGAGACTGGTCGCGTTGCTCATCCGAAGTGTCGATGCAGTAAGTACTGGGACCAGTGATGTCGAGAATATCGGCATGAGAGAAAGCTGTAAGACCCAAGAAATCTCTTGTCAGGCCTTCACTCTGCTGAGTTGTAGCGTTTGTCGTCGTTGTTTTCGAGAATGATTCGTTGATGGAACTCCCATCTATCTTCTTTGTGTTCAAGATGCCACCACCAAATGCGAGATCATCGAAGGAATTAGTGGCCACAAATCCAGTGGCGGAAGACAAAGAATCAATCATGTCTTGGAGAAGGGAAGGAGTAGCACCTGAGACAACGTTGTCATGATGATCATCATCATCATCGCCTGCGATGGAGGCAGCAGGTTTACTGTTCCCGAAAGGAGGCAAGCCATGGATAAGTGCACCACTACTACCCACATGGAGTTCTTGTTCACGTGAAGGCAAGTCGAGTCCAAAACCAGCTGTTGTTGTGTTGTTGTTAGTGCCTGCAGAACCAGCAGACACGTGAGTCGGTTGGTGGGGTCTAATCAACGAGGCCGGTATTGTTGGTGACCCAATTTTAACGCTCACGGTCGAACCCATATGAGCTGCTTTCTGAAGCAATGCAGTGGCTGACATGTGAGGGGAAGGCACTGTCGTTTCATGGTATGGAGGAGGAGGGAGAGTGGGGACAAGACTAGGGTTAGGACTGGGGTTCCCATGTAGCGTTAAATCTTGATGATCTAATCTCGAGGAGAATATTGACGATGATGAGGAGGAAAGGTCTATAGGGTGCTGTGGGCCAGGACCAGCCCCGAGCATTGCTTGGCTGGCCAGCCATGGAGGAATCTCTGCCCCTGCCCTTAGAGGAGTGAAACTTTGCTGCTCTTTCTTAAGTGAAAATGCATGGGGATTGAACTGGGGCGCTTGTAAATTAATGTGAGACGAGGCTTCACCTTGCTGATGACCGAAAAGAAACGGGTTGGCTCGTGCATTCTCCACTGCCAAAGCTTCGCAGAATGCTCTATGAGTGATGAAACTATCCCTCCTGGAGAAGAAGAAAAAAACAAAGGTTTTAAAAAATAAACACAACAAAACAAAAACTAAACCAGTGATCATAAAGTGCTGTGACAATGGCAGAAATACTTTTCTCTCCCTTTTTCCTGCATCCCATTCATTTTAATTTTTTCTCCCTCTTTGAAAGGATAGGACAAACTGTCCACTCGCGCTAGTGCAGAAAATAAAATTTAATTCCATGTATATTCTTTCCATATCTCTCTCTCTTTCTCTCTCTCTCTCTACTCTCTAGGGTGTGAAAACTAGGAACTGCCAGATGTATATATTTGCTATTAATTCTTCAGTTTAAAAGTTTATCCGTGAGAACCGTTTTCGTTTCAAAGCTATACTTGAGTGCACGTCACAGTAAATGAAGATTTGATTATTGTTGTTGTGCTTCAATGGATATCACTATTGTGTTCATGGGGAGGATGAAGGGTTTAGTTATTTATTATACCTTGAGAAGAGGGTTCCACAATCACATCTATATTCTCTAGTGCCACAAATCTTGGAATGAGCCTTCCAATCCGATTGAACTGCATACTTCTTCGAACACTTTTCGCATTTCCACTTCTTTTCGCCATGTTTCCTCGAGAAGTGCTTCTTGATTCCAGTCAAGTCTCCGAGCGCTCTCGACGGATCATGGTGAACGCAATTTGCTTCCGGACACACGTATACCTTCTTCCTCACCTCTTTGCTTGTTCGTTGCTTTAACTTCCATGGCAGATTATGTCCTCTTCTATGAAGCTGAAGGTTCTGGTCTCTTTGAAACCCTTTGTTGCAGATCTCACACACGAATCTATTAGTCGCCATGAGTGTTTTAGGAGACAAAGCTATCACTTCTGCACCGGGTCTGGTTCCAAGAAATAAAAAACCCACCAAAAAAATGCATAAAAAAAATGAAAAGGAGACAAACAAAACAAGTACATAAAAAAAACCCAAACCTGGGTTGCCTGGTAGGTTTCTCTTCTTCTTGGCCGGCAGAGCTTGAGGTTGTTGAGTGGTGAAGTTTTGTTGAGGATAATTGGAACCAGCTTCAATTCTATTACCGGATGAACCACTGGCTTCACCAGATGCAGAAGCCGAAGTCAAATTCGACATATTCTCTTCAAAAACTCGTTCTTGTTGCTGTTGATGGTTGGAATAATAAGCCTTTTATCATCTTCTACTGCATGAACCAATGAACCAGACCTCCAGAATTGGCATCATGCGTCATGGATCTTGGTTTTAAACACACACAAAAAAAATAGTAGGGTACAAAAAGAAAATCCAAAGATAAAAAAAAAACCAAAACTAAATGATAAAAGAGAAAGAAATTGATACTTGATTAGCTAGGCTTAACATATATGAATGAATACATACGATAATCATCGTATTGTATTCAACCCAAGAGACAATGGGTGTTTTGTTGTTTAGAAATACTTTAAGAAGAAACAAATAGAGCAGGTAATATATTATAACTCATGTATATATATAACCAGATATAGAGCTCAAGCAGATCCTCCATCTCTGTCCGCTTTTAAGCTTCATGCTTTTAATAAAAAATAATCTAACAATAACCACACAAGAATTGAACCTGATCAACTCACGAAACTGAGGCAAAGAGAGGGAGAGACAGAGAAAGAGATGTGGATGAGATGAAATCCCTCTTTAATCCTCAAAGCTGTCCGAAAACAAGAACCCAAAACCACAAGCCAAAGGGGTGGGGAACCCTCTGATGTTCCACTTTCTGTCTTTTCCCTTCACACTCCTTACAATAATAATAATAATAATAATAAATTATGCTTGATAAATTATTAAAAATAACATCTTTTAATTTATTGAGGATTTCAAATTTGGTTATTTGCTTAGTAGGAAGCAAAAGGGAGGTGTTATACTATATATATTGACATCATGATCATGGGGTAGAGACCTTTTTCACATTTACAGTGAAATGATTGATCCATTGATTAAATATATATAAGAGGCATGGCTAAAAGTAAAATCCATTTCCCTCTTGCTTTCAATTCTACCTTTTTTTTTTTAGTTTCATGACCATGACTATAGTTTACTATTTGTATATATATATATATATACTGTGAAGGACTTGGCTTCATTCTCTGACAATTCTGCATGCTACACCAATTTCTTATTTAGTAAAAATAAGTATTAATAACCCCTTAGGTATTAGAGGTTAATAAGTGGAAAAGTGTGGACCAAACTCTAGATTCCTAACTTAACTGGATTCTTAGGATTGGGACTGGCTTTCTGAATGGAACTATTTAGTTGAAGTTTTTCTTTTTTCTAATGAAATTAACCTTTAACTTTATTATTTTTATCACTATAAAAGTATTTTCTAAACTAATAATATTAGTTAATTTTACTAAGAGAAAATATTTAAAATTATAAGAAGAATTTTTAAAAAATAATTATATAAATTAAATATTTTTAATATTTTAAAATGTACAAATTAACTGCTTATAAATAAAAGGAACTATATAAGAACAAGAATAAAACCCAAGAGAAGAATTCATATAAATGATAGATATGAAACAAACATTATTTGTCTACGTTTAAGGATAAATATCACATTAACCTAAAAATATATATAATTTGTTGATAAACTAACATTATTATAATTTAACTGTGATCTATATGTGTTTGGCTTCCTCGCCGTTGTGGGAAAAATTAATTTCTCATATAAGACATCCACCATATTATTTCTTAAACTATGACTTCTTATTGATCTAAAGACGTCGTGTACTCATGGGATCTTCTCAATTTGTCTGAAGACGTCATGCAATCGTAGAGTCTTCATATTTAGCTTGAAGAAGCATGGAACACTTGGCGTCTTTAGGTTGGTACTGTTCAATTCACCCTAGATGGGGAAATAATCTCCAAGTTGAACTATATTCAAAATTAAAAAATCTCACTTACATTATCTCAGTCATTTTACTGTGTTTATTAAGATATAATTTGAAAATCTAAAATAAAAATAAATCAGTAAAATATTTAAATAAAGATCATTTAAAGATATGGTTATCCCAAGTTATTGCTGATACTATTGTCAATAATACTTCGTAAGGTTAATGATAACTACGTCTTTTGATTAAAAGAAAAGAGATGAATATTAAGTCTAACCATTATAAATGACATTAATAAAGTTAAGCGCATATGTTATATAATTAGTTTTTATATAAATAGATAAAAAAAACATTTTAAAAATGGTTACAATGAGTATCTCCTTTGTCATTTTTTTTAGTTTGTATCGTTTTTCATAGATTAGATCAATTTTTTCTTTTTTAATTTTCTTTAGTTGGCAGTGACATCGACTTTGATGTTGGTTGCCGACCGCCAGTTCTCTTTTTTATTTATTTTTTCTTTTATTTTATAATAAGAATTATTCTATCTGTGTTGCATGTTTATCTCTATTTGTGTTGCACATTTATCTCTGCTTTTGTGACATATTTTTCGATTTTTTTCTCGGTCGTTTGTTCGTTCTTTTATTTATGTTTTCTCAGGGTTGTATTTGACGACGCCACAACTGATCAAGATGGTGCTTATTCGAAATCTCATTGATCTTCCCTGCTATGAACCTTTGGATTGAATTTGGATGCGTGATTTTACGTTTGTGGATAGTTTCTCACGACGCTCGGCTCTGATCTGCAGTTCTCAGTGGTCTTTCAATAAATTAATTTCCTTTTGTGGTTTGTTTGCCGATGCAATCAGATTTATCTGTATGTCTTTTGGTTGGGTTTTTAACATTTTCCATTTATGGTACTTATATGATCTAAAGCGGTTAGTTTCAATGTTATAAGAAAAATCCAAATTATGTATTTAGTTTATGATGATAGTTGTAAATTCTTATTTTAATTTCGGATATTTTTACTTTTTTAATAATACTAATTGCTTCTATAAAAGAAATTGTTACAATGAATATAACCATACAAATGTCATTAAAATACCATTTTAAATGAAATTTTGTTTATATTGCTTAATAATGATTTTCAATTGAAATCTAAACGAGCTTTAACGGGATAATTTTGTCTAAATCGTAATGTTAATAGAAATTAATCACCCCACACATCTGTGGAGGAATTTAAAATTTCACGAACTTAATATGGTGGCATATATCCTACATCTATTCTGTTGGATCCAAGTCTTGAATTAATATAGTTAATCATTACATCCGAAAATGAACGAGAAAGATCACAACAAATCCATGTAATTTTTTTTTGGGGGGGGGGGGGGAGGTACTCTACAATTGTGGACAGCTCGAGATTATGGCCCCAAAACATTACTATTAATTAATCTATCCTTTCCCATCCCATCACAAGAAAAGGTTAAAACATTTTAAAAAAATATATATAATTTGTTATTAATATTTCAGTAAAAATAAATTGACAAATAATAATAAAATCTTTTATTTCAATTTAAAAATATCGTTATTATGTTATTATATCTAAGTTTATTTGATAAAAAGTAAAAGTTCAATAATTAATAAAAATATAATAACTAATAAAAGTAAGGGCAAAAAAAATACTTTTGTCTTGAATAAAAGAGAAGTATCATGTCTACCGTGTAATATTTTTAAAATCGGACTGGACATTGAACCGATAAATGTACTGGTTCTCTGGTTCAACAGCGGTTGAACCGGATTTTATATAAAATAATATTATTTTTAAAATTTTACATAATATTCAAAGTAATATTAATATATATGTAACACTTTTTTTAAGTTTACAATATTAAAAGGTATAAAATATCACAAGTCATAACATATAAATTAAAAACCATAAAATCAAGTGAAACAAAATGATTCAAATCAACTACAACATAATATTTAAGGTAAAACATATTAAATAATAAATAATTATATAACTATAATCAAAAAAATAAAATTAGAGCTTAAAAAAATCATAACAAATGATGTCATTTGGTTTAATTTTTTTTTTTAAAAACAATCTCACATGACTAAGAAACATAGAAGAGCGTCCCAAAAGTTTAAAATATAAAAATATGAGAACAAAACAATCACACATGGCTAAGAAACATAGAAGAGCATCCCAACTTACTTTTATAAATAATAGAAGTAATTTGACATTCAAAATCATTGATCTTTTTGGTGAGCACACAACAAACTATTCTTTTGCTTCAATCGAGCTCAAATTTTAGGCTTCAATCGAACTTCTAAATTCTTTTTGAGTTCTAGTCTTTTCGAGTTCAAGTTTTAATATTATATTTCGAGTTCGAGTTGAACTTGATAATTTTTAGCTCGTGAGTTTTTGAGTCGAGTTAAGCTTACTTTTAAAGTTTTCGAGTTCGAGTCGAGCTCAACAACACTCGAATTTGACTTGGCTCGTTGAACAAACGACGTCGTTTGGTTTATTTTTTTTTAAAAGAAAAAAAGTGAACCGGCGGTTCAAATCAGTTTTGCCGGTTTTCAGCCGGTTCACCCCGGTTTTATCGGTTTTCAGCCGGTTCATTGCCAGCCCGGGTTTGTGAGATAACCGGACCAGACAGGCCACCGGTTCACGGTTCAACCGGCCGGTCCGGTCCGGTTTTGATAACCATGCTACTGTGTGATATCAATGATAGAAGGAATTATTGTTCTTTTTAAAGGTTTTGAATTCGAATAATTATATCTATATGGTATGTGTAACTAAGAAATATTCTAAACAAATATTAGCTTATAATCACCTAATATTAAGATATTTGCATGGCTATTCTCACATTTTAAATTGTTAAATTAGATAATTTATTAATTTATAAAACCACCTTTAACAATTTATATACATAAAAGATGCACACTGTCATTACAGCAGACATATCAATAGCCGCATTTTTAGACTTATAGTGACGTTTAAAAGCGCTACTAAAAAGTCTCTCGACGTGAAAAAATACAACAAGAAGCATCATTAAAACAAACATTACAACTATTAGTGGCGTTTGTGAAACAAAAATGCCGCAAAAGGTTAGATTAGTTAGCGGTGTTTTGGGCTTTAGGGTAATATTTTTTGTTCTATCTATGTAAGACAAAAAAATCCATCTTGGAACTTCTAATTAAGATATGAATGCACTGGTTGCACACAAAAATTGTTTAGGCCATATAGCGGTGGGTTTTAGCTAAAGACACCACAAATGTATACTCCTTTAGTGTTGTTTTTCATCCTAAAACGTCACTAATCAAAATTGATTTGTAAATATTGTTTTCTGCACTTTACTACCCAAATTTAAAATATCCTGTAACAATATCTAATATCAAATTTGAAATTTAATTATGACTCGAATAAAGTAAAAATACTTAACAACATACATAAACCAAAGTTTACAAACATTCAAGTGAAATGTAATGTAGTTTAACCACTAGAATAAACAAAGCATGAACCTAAGAAATCGCCTAGGGTAGTGAATTTTGCGCTTGATTCATCATCTGCTTCATAATTTCAAGTTGATTTTGAAGTTCTTCATATTTTTTTCTAATATGTTGCTTCACTCGTTTTTCTCTATGCTTTTCTCGCTTCAGCTTCGGCCTTCATTTGAGCAAAATTTTCACCCGCTTGAGTCAATTGTTCTTTTAATCAATTAATTTCTGACTGAGAAGACTGGATGTACGATGACATATACTGAGACGAACTGGATCTAAAATATTTGGTCGGGATAACAAATGATCCTTTATAGCAAACTCAACCATATCTTTCAGGACTGAAAACTTTAGTAATAACTTGACTTTCTATCTCGTCCACATTAATAGAACCATGAGATGAAACCATAGCTTCATACTATACCCTTTTATCACTCAATTTTTCCTAGTAATCAATTAAGAATTTAGAACTAATTTAAACATTATTTAAAATAAAAATGTTATATAACATAATACAAATTTTATTTCTAGTAAATATACCATAATTTCTACAGCTTCAGGAGTCCTAAGAGAACCACCTTTTTTTACCCTTAAAAAAGTACTTAAATACTTTCTTAATCCAACAGTAAAAAACAATGTAACTTTTATATATATTACCCTTAATTTACAGTTATAGAAGCTGAACGAATTGATCAAGAAGTCAAAAGAGGAAGGGCAGTGTTGCAGACAACTTAAGGCGATGAATTACAACGATGCAGCAGAATTGAACAAAATAGCATATGAAAACAAAAATCAAGAAGCGAGACATACCTGATGTATTGTAGTTTAACAACTAGAGTAAACTCGTTAGATTTGATGAAGAAGCCGAAAGCGGAATGGATAGATGAATCTGAAGTCTAATTCCGATGGCAATGAAAATAAAATTTTGTTTAATGCAAAATATTTCTTGAATCAACAAAAAGGTAAAGTGCGACGGAGAAAAGAGACGTACTAGAAGTTGGCGGCGGAATTGCCCGTCCAGCTCAGTTGGTAAGAGCGCAAGGCTCTTAACCTTGTGGTCGTGAGATTGAGTCCCACGGTGGACAATTCATAATTCTGACTGCCGGAGGTCTCCCACGGAAGCTGCTCTCAACCTGGCATTGAGGGCAGGCTACTATCCTACCTCCCCTTATCCCATTACATATGGGAATAGGGTCAGCTAATTAAAAAAAAAACTAGAAGTTGACGACGGTGGCGTGATGTTGCGCTGGTGGTGGCTTTCATTGTGGCTCCATGTTAGGGTAGGAAAATTAGAAAAATGGCAATGAAAAAAATTAGGGATGTGAAACTGGGTTGGTTAAATGACTGGACAATTGCGGCGTTTTTTAAACAAACGCCACTAACGTACGATGAAATTGCGGTGTTTTCTATAAAAGGCCACTGAAGTACGCAAGGTAGTGGTGTTTACCCACAAATGCCACCTTACGTTTGTCTATTGCAGCATCTCTGTTAAAAACACCACTAAAGGTAGATGAGTATCGCGGCACATTCCCGTAAACGCTGTTAATATTTTTATTTTGTGACGTTTTATCCATAAACGCCGCGTTATGTAAAAAATTAATGGCATTTTCTTTTTTAAAAAAAAGCCACTAAAAACACCGTTAAAGACTTGTTTTGGTGTAGTGTGTACACTCGCATTAGAAAATTAAATTTTAGTGTTGAATAAATTTGTTCTCAAAAATGAATTCTTGAGTATATTTGTATTGAAAACAACCTTTGTTTTTGAGTATATTTTTTGCTTAATGCAATTGACTTTGAATGGGGAGTTTTAAACGCAAACGCAACGAAAACAACATATCTTAAGCACCGTTTTCTCATGTCAATATATCTTAAGCACCGTTTTGATTCAAAACTAAAAAAAAAGGCATAAAAAAGGTGAACAATGTCGAAAATCAATTTAAAATTTTAGTTTTTGATTTAATTTAATTTAATTTAGTTATAGGTTTGGATATGTGATGAATAGTAGTATAACAGTTACCCTATTAGTCAAAAGAATTTTATGCAATGTCATGAGTTGAGACTCTCCTAAATGATATATGACAAAAATAAAATGCAAAAGAATTGCATAAATGTTTTTCCAATTCTCAAACGAATATTCGTTTGAAAATACATTATAAATGTTTTTTTATACAGGTAGTTTTAAATATTTTATTGTTTAGAACACTATCAAGTTCTCATTAAAAACAAAAAAAGAAACAATTATTTCTCCAAAGACTTCTTTTTCCAAACAAGAGTGCTAAACCCTTGAATTATATAACCCCAGCGTACCCAATGATTCACGAGTGGAATATTAAGAAATTAAATATTCTATAGATAGAAAAGAGAGGGAGGCCCCACACTAAATGATTGAGAAATGCCTGCCCCCTTTAAGAATCCGTGGCCATCACCCCACGAGGCAAATCAACACCCTACGCGTGGAAGATAAGATCAATCGTCTTCCTTTTAGTCAACGGTTCTGATATAAGGTCCATTGTGACCGCACTTTCACGGTATGCCTTTCAAGCACACCCGTGAAAGGGACAAACGGAGGACTGAGTTCGACCCACTTGTACACGTGGACTATGATAATTGGAAGAACTTTGACAGACCCATGCAAGTTGCGTCAATTGGGACTTTTCCTCTTTCTATGTGATTGCCTTACGTAAAAAAATTCCAATATTACCGCCTGGGTCCCTATGCGACACTGACAATCTACGATATGCAGTGCCAAAATCACCCTACAAGAATACAAAATTTTCATTTCAACCATATCATATCATCAATATTTATTCATTAGTAAATAAAATACCCCTCCAACTCTTAACTCTCTGTCTCAAAACAATAGTGTAACTTGTAGGAGCCAACGAGCCATCGTTATCAGCTGGATCGCCCATTTGTGTTATTGATTTAAGAGCCACGTTAAATGATTGAAAAGTAATCTGATATCATAATTTTCTAATAATTAATTTTAGATTATTATAAAATAATATTCATTTATAATCTTTCTTAATCATTGACAACACATACACATCATACAAACACAAGAATAATATACCATTTATTCACCTGAAATCATTTGATAGTATCATTTTTATAAATGAAATTATTCACACTTTTAATATATTTTTGAAGCATCTCGTTTAGACCGGTGTCATTTAACTTACATCTCAATCGAGAAAATATATTTTTTAATAAATTAAGAAAGTATCACAAACCAACTTACCTTAGTGGTTGAAAGAATCATAGTTGTTTTAGAGGTCACGGGTTCAAGCACCAATGATTGTAGTAGGGTGATTGAGTATTCATTGTCAAATAATTGAGACTTGAGGGTATTTAAAATAAATATTACTTTTTGTAATCACTTTAGTTTAATAAAATAAATAAATTAAGAAAGTACATTTATAACAATTAGTATATATATAAGGTTACATCCATATCTCAATGGTATTTATATTAATGAAAAACTATTACTAAAAATATTAGTTCTCTAATTTATAACAAATTTTAAAAAATTTATAAAAGAATTTATATAAAGTAAATATTATTCACATGTGTATGTTTTAATAATAGTAATTAAAGAAAAGAGAGAGAGAAAAAGATTGAACACTGGCAATTCCAGTGTAAAATTCAAAGTCGCAACCGACAAAAGATCTTCCCAAATTTTGTTGGGGTACGATGGAGGGGGGTAATAATTGAGACACTTTTTGTTGGGGGTGAAGCAAACTCTCTTATCTTCAACTTGTTAAAGTTTTTCTTAACAAGCTCATGCATGACATGTAGATTACAAGTTCTGAAAAAAAAACACACACACACATAAATCTATTTCCAGGGAGAATTACTGATTTTCCACTTTGCTTTTAAGTGGCTTCCAGAAAAATCATTAAATAGATACCCTTAAATGCCACTTCACCCAGTTCCGATTGCATGAGCGACTATCTATTGTTTCAGCCTTTTTTTTTTTTTTGGATAATTGAAAAATTTATTACCCAAAGGAACAGTGTTCTGCTACAAAACAATCATCAATGGAGAAACAACGTAAAGTCAAGAACAACCTATTCACAAAACAGAGTATATGTTATTCAATACTCTATTTCTTACAAAGAGTAATATTAACACTATCAAGTCTATTAATATTCCAACCTCTAAGTTGAATTCCGACAATCTCATTGATAGCTTTAAGAATTTCTGTTGCATTTCTAGAGATTCTTTTGAACAACCTTATTAAATAATACAATGTATAGAGTTTTTTTTTTGTGTTTTTTATTTTATTTACATTATTCTATATTAGATTATCTCACATTCAAAGATTTTTTAGAGTAAAACACAAAATAATAAATCGTAAAAAAGAAATGACCATAATATTTTTATATATTGTTATACTTCCATGTTTTCCATGATGTTACATCAAAGTGTTCAGAAAAAAATATTTATATTTGATCATAGAAATACCCATAAAATTTTAGTATATTTAGATACATATAACATCAATAATTTTAAAATATAAAATATCACTCTTTTATATATAAAAAAGCT